TGTTGTGCAGGGCTCTGCTGACCCCAGTGCAGCCCCACAGCTGCCTGCCACAGCCAGTCCAAGACCCTGGTGCAGCCCTTTTACAGCATCTACACTTGGGGGTGGCCCAAAACCTCAGTTTAATTCCCTTGTTTAAGCCTGGGGAAACCATTATTCCACATGTAATAATATGTGAACGAATGGCTTCCTCGGGCTTTATCAGGGTAATTAAGCTGCAGTTTTGGGCCATCTGGCAGTCTGTGGGGAGGGGCAGGACTGCTGGGGCCCCTTGGCCAATCAGAGGTGTGTGGCAGGACACTTGGTGTGTCTGCCACTTTAAGAGGTCAGATAGCCTGCTGAGACACTTGCAGGTGGGATCATGCCTAATTATAGAGTCAGCTGACCCAGTGGCTGGCAGGCGTGGCTAGGCCTAAGCCAGGGAGTCGCCTGATTGCAAGGGAGACCCCTGATTGGAGGAGGGCTGGGCTTAGACTGGATGTAGGCCCAGAGCCTGGGGGCAGGGTTGGGAATAACATCATGGGAGTTGGTGGAGGAACATCACCCAGCAGGAAGGTTGCAGCTTCTGAATTCTAGCATGGAGAACAACATCTGAAACGTATACCTAGAGAAGGGCTGGGTGAGTGTAGTGAGCATGGGAGCCTGTTGAGAGGCCTGGATGAGCCCAGAGAAGGAAAGGGGCTGTGAAGAAGGACCTACTGAGGGCTCTGGGTGAGCCCAGAGAGAAGGAATGATCTATGGAGAGGAGAGGGCTGGCAGCTGGAGGACTGACCCTGGGAACTTTGACTGGTCCAAGCTGGGGCCAGGGCCCAGGAAGGGCTGAAGGGTGAAATAGCCCACCGCAAGAGACTGACAGAACTGGAAGATTGGAGTCTTGACTGGCCTGGAGGAGGGCCAGGGCCTAGGAGAGGCTAGAAAGTCCCTGTGGGTGCAGGGAGGTGCACAGCCAAGAGGCAGGGGTCTAGCAGCAGGTAGCCCAGGATGATGATGACTGGTGCTAGGCTATCTGAGGAGGAGGGATCATCAAGAGCATGGGTCCAAGAATGAGCTGGAACCAGAGATAACTACCAGGTCCCCTGGCCCTGGCTCTAGCAGCCCAGGAAGGGATAGGACATTGAGGAGAAGCTCAGAGAGGGATGAGCAAGATCAACTAGGCCTGAAGACCTGTCATGGGTAAGACCTGAAACTGCACCTTACTGGAGCTGGTTAGCGGGGTGAGGCTACCTGTGGTGGGGAAGGCCCCATGAAATGCCACACATGAGCCACTTCAAGGCAAGGTAAAGAGGGGGCACAGAAAAGCCTCAACTCCCACTGCCTTGTGGGTTACCCCATGGAGGGGGAAGGCTTGGGGAGTGCACTCTGACAGAAATGCACTTGGCAATGAAGACCATGCGGACCCCGGGGGGGCAGGGAGGGTCCAGAGGCCTAGCGAGAGGAGCTGGTGGATCATAGTGAGGCCCAGTGAGTATGGCGAGACCAGAGGGGCCTAGTGTCCCAGTGGGGGCCAAGAATGGAGTGCAGGATCAGATGGTTCCAAGGGCCTGGATAGTGAGGCCCAGTGAGGGGCCTGAGGCACATAGTGGGATCCAGGAAGCAGACTGGGACCAGAAGGGTTCAGCAGTCCAGTGAGGGGCTGGGAATGGAGTATGGGACCAGACAGGTCCAAGGGGCTGGATAGTGAAGTCCAGCGAGAGGGCCCTGAGTCTCATAGCAAGGCCCAGCGCGATGGGAGAGCATTCAAAACAGTAGGGGGGGGCAGCCCAGAGAGGGAGAACAAGGGACCTGGTAGCCTAGGGAGTGGCTACACAAGACTGAATAGTCTGAGGGCCTGGAGAGGGGCTAGAGGAGAGACTGAAAGGTCCGGTAGCCTGAATGGGGGCCAAGATGGAGACCAAGGGGTCTGAAGGCCTGGAGTGGAGCTGAGAGAAGCCAAGGGTCGAAGGCCCAGATCAGGGTTCTTTGAGCAACTGACTGAACATCGATAAGGATGCTATCTTCAAGGCATGGGACATGGTGTAGGGAAGGTACAGACCCATGTGATTGGTCCATAAGACCAAGACCACAAGTTGGGTGGTCATTATAGTAAGATCAAGGCAGCTTCCTGCAATCTATATATCTATTAACATCAAGGCATGGCAGGAAAGAGTGGGGCAGGCTGCCCTTAGAGTGGGGTAACCTCAAAATTTTGGGGGGTACCCTGTGACGGGGCCCCTACTGCGTTCAGCTCGTGAAAATGGCAGCTGGCCCCACGATCTGCCTGTGAAATCAGCCAGCCACCTCCTTGAGTTCGGTAGACCCCTATCTATAAATATACCAAAAAGGAAAATGTCAGGCAGAAAAAAGAACTTCTTACATAAAAGAAGGGGTGTCATACACACCTGTTTCCCATGCATCAGATCCCAAAAAGGTGAGCAGTAGTGGGGCAAGATGTGGCCCAGGGGTTAATGCAGCCATTGCTCAACCCCCTGATGCTGACATGCGTCCCTGGTGGGACTCTGTAGCTAGAGATTTGTTGATGAACTTGCCCTGCAACTTCGTGGCATCTCTGCTTTCCTTGCAGGGTGAGTGTTTGACATTCCTGCATTAAAGGATAAAGCTGGAACAAAAACAAATGGGTGTAAATTGGTCACAAATAAATTTAGTAAGTTTGCAATTGAAAAGTGGTTCCTAAGCATAAGTTGGGAGGTTCTGGAACAATAAGGGCAAAACACCTCATAGTTTGAAGATGAAGCTTGAGCAGTCCATGAAAGGGGTTGTACGATGTGGTAGGCTTTGACAATCGGTGACTGGACTTGGTAACTCAGATTTTTTTTCTAGCCCTGTGCTGCTAGAGGTCCCACCTGAGACTCAGGCTTCTCTATGCTTGATACTGAGACATCCCCTCTCTGTAAGCACTGGACGTACCCCTGTGGTCACTTATCAAGTAGACATATTTAAGTGGCCTGATGTGGCATGACTTTAGGGGCACACTTTCTTTCCTGGTGGCTCAGTACGCTACTCTTGTTCCCCTTGCAGTATCGGTCCCTCCCAGAAAAATGGCTAGAGGGCACACCTTTTGTCTGAAGCAGAAAATGTTATTACCATAATTTCAGCAGCACAACTTTTGTATTGAGTAGGTGTCTCAGTGCTTACTGCTCCTCAGGCTATGGCTCAGAAGCCAAACACCATTGTACCTGCATCTGATGCTTGTATGTAATTAGACTGAAATAAAACTCAGATGCAAAGAAGCAGAATAAGGGCTTTATTTCTTGGAAGCGTCTGCTGACATCCAAATCTGCAAGCATGATGTTCTGTGTGGAGAGCTCAGCACATTTTTACCTTACCTCTTTATTAACATTTTCAAAAAGTCTGTTTTTTTTTTTTTTGAATGAACTCTAGATCAGCGGTTCCCAAACTGACAGACTGCACACCACCAGTTTAAAAGGATACAACCTTAAGTACTGCCAGCAAATTTTTCAGTTCAACCTTAAGTACCACCAGCAAATTGTTGTCATATAAAGTGCAAGCACCTACTCTGGACACTCTTAAGAAACATTTGGGTGCTTATTTTGTTGGGATCCTTTGATTGTAGCTGACTTCCTGCCCCTGGGGTATGGGGCTGGACTGGATGATCTTACAGCCTAACGTCTATGAAATCTATTAAGGTAATTATAATAAGTCTGTTAACGCATACCATTGACAGGTTGTCTATGTACCACTGGTGGTACCTGTACCACAGCTTGGGAACCACTGCTGTAGATTACAGGTTGGTATCGAGGTCACCAGAATGTGTGTAATGCCCTCTTGGAGTTGGTTGCTGTGTGTGTTTTAACTTATCTGAGTGTATGGAGCTTTCCACTTGTTATTCCTACCATTTGTACTTTTTCCAAGACTCCTGATCTTCAAAAATGGAGGCTGTCTTGGGCATCATGCTTCTCACTGAATGGCATGTAGCCGCAGAGTTGGATTACCTCTTGCGCATTTGCTGACCATGGGGTGGAATGGGGGAAGCGAGCAATCTCCTTCCTCTGTCTCCATCCACAAGGCCATAAGTAAGAGTTATCAAAAGCCGCCACCAGTTGGCAGTTTTAAATTTAAAAACAATGTTTGTTTTTTTTCTTTAAAGTTCCAGGTGGCTAAGCTGTCAATCAGGATCCTTGTTATACACGGATTCAGTGTCACATTCATGTATAACAAGATTTCTGACTGACAGTTTTAAAAAAGGTGGCTGAGATGGGAATTCTCCCATGCACACACTCTATACAGAGCTAGTCATGTAGAGAGTGCTCTCTTCCTGATGGGAAGGTGGAGTTTCTTTACTTCTTTGCACACAGCTTATTCTGTGGTTGAGGAAATCATTTTCCTTAACCTCACATTATAGTATTGGTGAAAGTTGTGTTGCCCGCTGACAGTTTTGGTAATTTGCCCTCTGACTGGTGAAGACCCACTTTCTCTTGTTAGATATCCCAAAGGTTGTCAGTTCACTTTTGGCTTAATGTAGCTCTGACTTTTTTTCTCAAATTTCATTTCCCTGCTGAGAACCAGCAAACTGTGCTTGCTGGCTTTTTGGAAGATCGAAGTAGTGTGTAACTGGGTTGCCATTGCTCCCTTGGGTCTAGGTGCCTTGTTCATTCTCTTTTGAGCCACATAATCTCTTCATTTTCCTATTCCTGACATCAAAGCAGTCACAAACTTAATCTTCTCTGTGAAGCAACCTCGTCTGCTTTTATTTCCTCCTGTTGTTCCCTGTGATCCCCATTAACAACTATACCATCATCCTTGTTTTGATTTTTGTTTCCCTCTGCAAATAATACTCTTTGTAAAAATCTCTTATCTTTATGATCGTAGTCATCATATTAGGATGTTGTTGTTGCAGAACTGTTTCTTGTGAGATGTCCTTTCTTTTGCAGAAAACACCTTTTACCTTCAAACTCAGAAAAGTTTGATTTATGGTTTATTTTCTCTAACCAATTAAAGCTATGTAATTTTTAAAGTTTGCCTTATGAGCCTTCTGTATTTTGCAGAGTTTGGAGTATTTCCTAATTGAGGAGAGCCATAATACTGACAACAAGGGAATCCTCTGGCGGATGTCTCTGAAACCATATGAAGTCATGGCAGAAACTGAAGAAAAATCATCTGAACCCAAAAAGTGTGGTCCATACATTTCATCTATAACCACTCATGGCATGAACTTCATGATTCGTGGAATAGTGCTGTTTTTTATTGGTGTATTTCTTGCATTAGTATTAAACTTGCTGCAGATTCAGAGAAATGTTACGCTGTTTCCACCAGATGTTATCACCAGCATCTTTTCGTCAGCTTGGTGGGTACCGCCCTGCTGTGGCACAGCTTCAGGTATGTTCAAGGAAGTGCCAAATATCTGTGCGTGATTTGAGGTGGGGATAGATAAGTGAACAGGAAGAAATTAAAATTCTTTCATTAGTAGAAAATATGGAATATTTAAAATGTTGGGTCCAGAGGTCTACCTTTTCTTAACTATTTGTGGTAGTCTTTTTTTTTTTTTTTTTTTTTTTCTTTAATCTCCCTCAGATATAGTGAAAAATTCAAGGTCAGCTCTCTTGAATTCGTATTGTTAAAGCATCTGCTGCTTCTGTTTAACACAGAGTTTAACAAAACATAGAAACGTGTGCCACTGTAATCTTTGGGCTGGAATCCAGTGATAAACTTTGGGGAGATTTTTGAAAAAAGTATCTGAAAGCTTTAGATAGTTCAAGGTGTGCTGGCTTGCCTCACAGGGAGCGAGTACCTTGAGCCCGCACAAATGCCTGTTCTAGTTTCACGTGTGCTTGAGCGTGGCCTGGAGTATAGGCTCACAGTTGTAAAGTTTGCATAGATGAGGCCTGAGCTGTCTCTTGTTCCAGCATGCAGCTTTCTCCTTATGGCTAGCTTATTGTTATCAATAGAAGTACTCTGAAATATTCCATTAAAAGCCTAATTGGGCTTTGGGCTTTGAAGGGCCCTCCTACACGTTCAAATTTAAGCTGGATAGAAGCCAGCTATACAATTTTTTCCACATTTTCAAGCATTAACTTTATAGCTGGATCGACATTTTTACTGTGTGGTAATTGCTTTGCATGTGTGATTAGTCTTCTTTTTTTTTTTTTGGCATGATTAACCACTGAATTGCGTAATATATGTATTGTATAGCAGGAGCCAAAGTGTAGGGAAGACCTATCCCTTGGGTCAATTTAACACTTTACCAGAGGGTTATTCTTAACAGTTAATATTGGAGAATTCAGTTATAAATAGGTCATTAAAATAGAGTGTATTCCTGGACCTTGATTATAATAAGTATAAGGAGCCCAGTTGCCGCCTTAGTGGGTGTTAGTACAAATCAATACATTTATTTCTGCTCTGACAATTATAACTGATGTAAGGGTTTTGCTAAAGGAAGTTTTATGCTTTTTTCTAGTTACCTAATTTTCTTTTGGTAACTTGTTGAATTATTGTACCACAGATTGCATTAAGGAGTCTGATTTGAGAGGAAATTGTCCAAATATTTTTCTGAATTTGTCTTTTTTTTTTTTCTTCTCCTGGGAATGTACTTGGAATATTTTGGGCACAGTTACATATTTATTTTATCTGTAAGTTACCTGTCTATCATAGTGCTCTTTCTCTAGCCTAATCGCGATTTCAGCTTAGCTGTGGTATCCTGCATTGCTTGCATATTTATTTTATGCTTTAAATTGGTTATCTTGACACAGGTTTCATAGTTGGTAGGTTCGGAAGGGACCTGAGCAGATCATCAAGTCTGACCCCCTGCCCTGGCAGGAAAGTACTGGGGTCAAACGACCCTGGCAAGGTGTTCGTCTAGCCTCCTCTTAAAGACCCCCAGGGTAGGAGCCAGCACCACTTCTCTTGGAAGTTGGTTCCAGATCCTAGCCGCCCTGACAGTGAAGCAGCGCCTCCTGATATCTAGCCTAAATCTACCTCTGCCAGCTTGTGACCGTTATTCCTGGTCACTCCTGGTAGTGCTCAGGGGAACAGGGACTCCCCCAGTACCTGCTAGTCCCCTCTGGCTAGTTTGTAACAGGCCACTAGACCCCCCCCCC